CATACATACATACATACATACATACATACATACATACATACATACATACATACATACATACATACATAGATTAATTGAAGCCCTCCAAGGTCCCTTCCAGTTCTATTCTGATTGATTGATTGATTGATTGATTGATTGATTGATTGAAATGGTCTAGGGTTTCCTGCTTGAGCAGGGGGCTGGACTAGAAGACCTCCAAGGTCTCTTCCAGCTCTATTCTGATTGACACTGACTGACTGACTGACTGACTGATTGATTGATTGATATGGTCTTGGGTCTCCTGCTTGAGCAAGGGGTTGGACTAGAAGACCTCCAAGGTCCCTTCCAGCTCTCTTCTGATTGATTGATTGATTGAAATGGTCTTGGGTCTCCTGCTTCAGCAGGGGATTGGACTAGAAGACCTCCAAGGTCCCTTCTGGCTCCATTTTGATTGATTGATTGAATGAATTGATTGATTGATTGAAGACCTCTGAGGCCCCTTCCGGCTCTATTCTGATGGATTGATTGAGTGAGTGAGTGAGTGATTGATTGAAATGGTCCAGGGTCTCCCGCTTGAGCAGTGGGCTGGACTAGAAGACCTCCGAGGTCCCTTCCGGCTCTATTCTGTTTGAGGGAAGGTTTTAAGGGATAAAGAACAACTGAAAGCAGAGGCTTTTCTTGTTCTTAATGGATCAGCAACTAAAAAAACAAAGTAATTGAACTTTCTTTGTATATATAACAAGGGCAGCTAGATTTATTACAGGCTTAACAGGGGAAAGATTTAACGTTTAGAGGAGGGGGGGAAATAAGAGGGAAAAGCTAAATTAGCTTCTTTGATTAGAAGGGGGGGGCAAAAAAAACACAATATCCGCATTTATGGATGACTGGAAATCCCTTCTGACTTTTCGCGTGAAACTGGGAGGAAAAAATGCACTTATGATTTGTGGTTTTGATGATAAGACAAAAAAAACCACAACGCATAATAACACAACGCATAATAGAAGAGAATGATGCCCTCCTTTAATCAGAATGGAAGAGATAATTTTGCAATTGTGCTTCTATTTGCTGGAAAGGAAATCAAGAGGCGTCTTAGGTTTTTATTATTCTTTCTTTTTGCACTTTTGATTCTATCTTCCTTTCTTTTTCTTCCCTCTGTCTTTCTTTCCTTCTTTCTTTCCTTCCCCTTTTTCTCCCTCCCTCTCTCACGCAAAAACACACATTTCCTTCCTTCTTCCTTCCCTTCCTCTTTCCCTCTCTCTTCTTCCTTTCCTCCCTCTCTCAATTTCTCCCTCTTTCCTCTCCTTTCTCTCTCCCTCCCTCTCATGCAAAAACACACGTTTCCTTCTTTCTTTCCTTCCTTCCCTCTCTCCCACACACATATTTCTCCTTCCCTCCCTCTCTTAATATATATTTTCCTTCCTTTCTTCCTTTCCTTCCATCCTCCCCTTTCTTTTGTCTTCCTTCCTTCTCTTCTTCCTTCCCTTCCTCCTTCCCTCTCTTCTTCTTTCCTTTCCTCCCTCTCTCCCATTTCTCCCTCTTTCCTTTCCTTTTTCTCCCTCCCTCCCTCTCTCACGCAAAAACGCACATTTCCTTTCTTCCTTTCTTTCCTTCCTTCCTTCCCTTCCTCTCTCTCCCACACACATATTTCTCCTTCCCTCCCTCTCTCAATACATATATTCCTCCTTCCTTGTATCCCTCCATCCTACCCTTCCTTCCTTCTCCCCTCCTCCTTCTTCCTTCCTTTCCTTCTTCTTCCTTTCTTCATTCCCTTCCTCCTCTCTCTCTTCTTCCTTCCTTTTCTCCCTCTCTCCATTTCTCCCTCTTTACTTTCCTTTTCCTTCCTTTCTTTCTTCCTCTCCTCCTTTCTTTTTCTTTCTTTCCTTTCACTTCCTTCCTTCCCTCCTTCCTTCTTCCTTCCCTCTCCTTCCTTCCTTCCTTCCTTTCCTTCCTCTCTCCATTTGTCCTTTCCTTTCTTTCCTTTTCCTTCCTCCTCCCCTTTCTCCCTCCCTCCCTCCCTCTTTCTTTCTTTCTTTCTTTCTTTCTTTCTTTCTTTCTTTCTTTCTTC